GAAATTGTAATCTAAAAAAACACTGCTGAATCCAATGGTGATATCGAAAAATTACTTATTTAATCAGAAAGGGTAGTCTTGCAAGGGTAAGCGGTCGATTTATGATTAACTTTTTAGGGGTTGATTTTTTTTACAACATGGGTCTATTTTTTAAAAACTACTACCTTTTTTCCATAAAAAAGGTACTCTTATTGCAAGTCGCTTAAAGCAATGGTTTTCGAGAAAATTGAAGGTAAACATTTTACTGAACCCGTATTTGAAAAACAAGTATGTATTTATTTTTTGATGGGTTGCTCACAGGTTAAACAACATAAATTTATGAAAATTATGGCGTGGTTATTTCAACTTAGAATTATCAAATCGCCCTGTTAAACAAGAGAAGCGCCGAAATTATTTTAAATAATAAAAGAGTGAGAAATTAAAGTGAAAAATATTTTATTACTATTATGGAAAGTACCGTATTTTTTATCATATCAGTCTGACTCTTTTATTTAAAGTAAATGTTCAATGTGACCACCATTTATTTCAATACAGACACCTGCTTTTCTTCTCCAGGATCTGCGTACCCTATCGAAAATCCTTGGCGTTGTACGAATTTGATTGGAGCAGTTAATTATCCGTTGTCGTAGTTGCTCTTCAGTATCAATCGGCACTGAGTAAACCAAAGCTTTTAAGTGACCCCATAAGTAGAAATCAAGTGGATTAACATCTGGTGATCTGGATGAAGTAAATTTTGTCCATTAAGCCTAAAAGAATAATAATAATTAGGAGTTGGTGACGTTTAAACAGTTTTAAAATTTACCTATTGGGTAGAAAGAATGGTCCAATAAGTCTATCTCTAAGAATTCCCGCCCAAACGTTTACTGAGAATCAAACTTGTTGTTGACTTTCTATGACAGTATGAGGATTTTGATCGGACCAGTAATGGGTGTTGTGGTAATTAACAATCCCATTTTTGGTAAACCCTGCTTCATCAGTGCATAAAATGTTTGACAGAAAAAAGAGATCTTCTACCAGTTTTCTTAATAACCAACGACATAAATTGGCACGAGCGGGATAGTCTGGACGATTAAGCGCTTGTACCTTTTGGATGTGGTACGGATACAGCAGTTGAGTATGAAGAGTCATCCACACAGTATGGCGACTCACGTTTTCTCGCGCTGCAATTCTGCTTACAGATAACCCTGGATCTTCCTCTACACTTCTTAAAATTCGCTCTTCAATTGCTGGTGTACGCACTGTAACATTACGGCCGCGATCATGGTACCTGTTACTAAATGAACCTTCGTCTTTCAGGCGCTGATGGACTCTGGCAAATATCCTATGAGAGGGTGCTCTGCGATTTGGATATTTTTGAATATACAAACGTTTAGCTAAAAGACCGTTTCCGTTCGCTCCTCCATAAATAAAATGCATATCTGTCAGTCCAAGTACAGTGTATTCCATAATTTCTAGTATATTACGCTCACGTACACTTCAACAACAAGAAACTGATAGAAATACTTAAAAACCAGAATATTTTTAGGCAAAATTTGCTAAATTAAAATAAAAAAAATTGTGATAAGACCATGTACATAGCTATGGTTCTGTCCAAATTTGATTATTCCATTTACAAAAAGTATTCATTGACAGTGGCGTGCCCACAAATTTCTTCTGGGGTTTGGGTTGCCACTTACCTTCCGATTACAAAGTTGAGAGAAAAAAATTGACCCACAGACAAAAAATAATTTTTCATAATAAAATTTCTTCGACATTACTTGAAAATATTTTTTTTCTTTAGTGTTTATGAGTTTTTTGGGAGGTTGATTAGTTTAACACGTCACAATTTTCATAAATTTATGTTTATTAATCTGTGAGATACCCATCAAAAAATAAGTAAGTTTACTTTTCGTTTTTCTACTACAGGTTTACCAAACTCTTTGCCTTCAATTTTCTCGAAAACGGTTGCTTTAAGCGACTTGCAATAAGAGTAACTTTTTTATGGAAAAACTGTAATTGTTTTTAAAAAATAGAGCTACGTTGTAAAAAAATCAACCCTTAAAAAGTTAATCATAAATTGACCCCTTACAGTTCATCAAATTTCTAGAGGCTTTCGACGGCTAGACAGAGAAAGCACTACTGACAGGCATCCCGACGGATTTACGCAATGAAAGTACACTCTGCGCATCAAGTATTTCACTATTTCATTCAGACGTAAATGTCAGATGTAAATTTCGCTAAAACATTTCTTTTATTTTCATTTGTGTTTTTTGCTCATTACAGTTTAATAGAACCTAAGTATGGAGTTTAATAGCAAATTAAGAGGCCGCGTGATTAACAGTCAATCTCGCGAAATAATAGCCAATGTTATAGAGTTTATGAGAAGAGAAGGAAACTTTAATTCACCTTCAATACCATTCAATACCATAAAAACACTGTCGTCCGCATTTCTGGAGAGAAAAAAAGAATCGATAACCGTGAGATATCGGAATTTTCATCACCAAGAAAAACCATTAAAAAACCAATAACAGTTAATGATATAGATGAAGCTGCACAAGAATCAAATTTTATTTTTTTATTATTAGATAGCTATTTTTGTTTCTGAGTTGTGTTCATTTACAGGCTCAATTTTTTTTCGTTTCTCCTTTTTGATTTTATATGGGGTTTTAAGTTGTTTTTGACTTATTTCGACGTAAATCACAACAACACACTTTTTTAATAAAGCAAACAAGTGTTGAGAGGTATATGTACGTGTAAACTACAATTACAAAAAATTGATATGAAACCCATGAAACCACCAACAAAAATGTAAAGCTAGCTTCTGTACTAGAACATGGTGTCATTCGTCGAGATAATTTATCGTTTTGTTTAATAGATCAAGAAATGTAAATATTCCCCTGTTATTTTTTATAAAATTATAAGAGAAATAAATTTTTTTCCAAATAGTATAGTTTATTATTTTGTAGAAAAACAAAATTTCGAAAATTTTAGTAATGTTTCAGAAACAACCGTTATTAATAATAGGTACCATTTTCCTTAATAAGGTAGAAATAAAATATAAACTATTTCCACGATTTACAAAGGCCTACAAAAAAATTATAGGTATTTTCCGCTATCCTATAAAATTTATATTTTCTGACTCAATTTCAAAAGGTTGAAGGAATTCCAAAACTCCTTTTATGGCATAATAATTATTTTCAATTCTACATACTATCTTTAGCTGCTTTTAAAACCGTTCTAAGAAAGTCCAATCAGACCAGTTTAATCCCTAAACTATTCCACACTTTTAAAATTTAATTACCTAAAAATATTAAAAACTATTTAAAATAACTTGTTTAGCAGACTGTACAATAGCTATCTTAGTCACACGTAGCGCGTTCTCTGTCTGGGCGTCGAACACCTCTAGAAATTTGATGAACTGTACCCTTGCAAGAACTACCCTTTCTGATTAAATAAGTAATTTTTTGATATTACCATTGGATTCAGTAGTAAATTTTATGTCAACAGGGATTTTTTATCGTGTTTTTTAAGCTTACAATTTAAAAAATAACCACTTTCCAAGTTTGTCCTTTTGACCTTCCGATTTTTTTTACACTATTTCAATGACACCCTCTATATACTCTTTAAATAATGTATACTTTTGTTTCTAAGAAATTAATAACTGACAGCCGCAATTTTTATGACTAATGCTTTTTCGTTCATAACGACTGTCGACGAAAAAATTTAGACGACGAATTAGAAGCTTTGACGCTATGCAAATTTATATTTAATTCTGATGAAAGTGGCTTCAACAATGCTCTTTTTAGAGTTCGGGCTATAGGTGAAAAGGGAGTACCACTGTCTAGGGTATCAGGAGGATCAGGGAGAGAATCTACTACTGTCTTATCATGCATTGCTGCAGATGAATCATTTTTACCTCCATTTATTATGTTTAAAGCAGGTGCTGTCCAAGCGCGTTGGACTTCTGAAAATGTGTATCCTGGTATAACATATAGAGCATCTGAAAATGGGTGGATGGAAGAGCCCCACTTTTATCAATGGTTCATAACCTTATTTATACCAAATGTTAACAGAGTGCAAAAAGAACGGGATGTGCCTGACCAGACTGCTCTTTTGTTATTTGACAGCCACAGTAGCCATAACAGCGTTCGGATAATGAATGCTGCGCTTGAACACAACATTTTTTTACTTAAATTATTAGGTCATCTAACAGATAGGATGCAACCACTAGATAAATGCGTATTAGAATCTATCAAAATTTGATGGGACAGAATCTTGGTTAATCATGGAAAATCTGAAATGGGAACGTCTTATGGACGTTTGACAAGACATAAGTTCTCAGAATTGTTAAAAAAAGTTTGGAAACAAGGCATGACCCCCGAAAATATAATTTCAGGCTTCAAAACGACTGTAGTTTTTCCGGGGGGGCTTGGTTTTTTTTTTAGAGGGAGTATGGGATTTTGGTAGTTGAGCATTTTGAATAAAATATTTTTTTGTAGAAGCCATGTAGAGGAAAGAGTTTACGATTTTGATATTTTGGGTTGGAGGAGCTTTTTTTTAGAAGTCAGGAAGAGGAAGGCGTATATGATTTTGAGAATTTTGTTTGTAGGTGCTTTGCAAAGAAATGGGTATGACCTGGCAAGGGGGTAGAGCAAGGAGGACTTTTTTCTGAAATGTGTTTAGGGCTCCGTCAAATATTTCACTTTTCAAAAAGGTTCTGTCAACAAAAAAGTTTGAGAACCACTGATCGACGAGCCCAAATAATCAGATGGAAGCAGATAAACCTAAACCCATATTGATAAGTGACTCTTATTTACCTGAATCAGAACATCAGGATGCTACCATAAGAAATGAGACTGCAAAGAAAAATTCCAAAGATCTTTCTTACAATTGGTATCATTAATCTATTCTCTATGAAATTAATTGAATGTGTTGAAAATTCTCCAAAAATATCGGGAGGTACTGAGAATAAAAAAGTTATTCCACGACTAAAATAATCCAGATATGGAGAAGCTTTAACGATGGAAGAAGTAATGAACAAGCTTGAACAAGACGAAAAGGAAAAGAAAGTTGAGCAGACCAAAAGAAAATTAGTAAATATATGTTCCAAGAAAACAGAAGACGATAATTTTAAGCAGATGGAGATATCGAAAACAAAGAAGCAGAAACCAAAGAAAAATACTGATTCATCAGATAGTGTTGCTAGATTAATTCATTTAACAAACGATGACTCTGATGACGACATGCTTCCACTTTCCTCATTTGTTCAACCAAAGCCTGTTAATTGGAAAGAAGTCAAATGGGAAGAGATTAAGACAGATGTTTTTCTTCTGGTTAAATTTGTTGAAGAGGCTAGAAAAGCGACTATTTACAAATACGTCTGTGTAGTTAAGAAGAAAGACGAAGATCACGAAATTGCTATTGTGTAATTGCGAGCGCTCAATGAAGTTTGCTCTGATTTTTATATTAATGAGAGTGAGAAATCTTTCATGCAAATGGACATGGTTGTAGCCATTCTTCCTTAGCCTAAAATTAAATTCTATGAACGTAAAACGATTTATTCTTTTCCTGGAACAATAGACTTCTTCGAGAATCCATAATTATGTATTTTGATATATTATTAGATGTTTGTAGGCATAAATTTACCTGCTATATATTTGAAAACTGTTTGTATTTCGCTTCAAATAAATAATAACATAAGCAATAAATTTAGAATTTTCATTTTTATGATGGGGCAAATATGAACAATTAAATTACGACTTGAACTGATGCAAATTAATTTTAATAGGCTAATTTGTTCGATATTACCCCACCTATTCGAATGTAGGAATCAATACAGGAGAATTATTTCGTTTACGTTTACCTCGAATTTTTTTTACCATCACCCCAAAATTCTCAATTCTCAATTCTCAATTCTCAAAAACGAAAAAAATCCGGGGAATTGTAAACATTGAATATTTTTTTTAAATTTATTTTTTCAAGTTGACAATTAAAATTTAGGTAGAATATACCTATTTAAAATGACAAGTTTATATTTAATACTTTTCAATTCAAGACTGGGGGAACCTTACTTTATCAAAACTGTTTGCAGTTCCCCGGTTAACCCTATATGACATCCGGTTTACCATAATATTTTTATTTTCTAAATACCAATTAATTAGGTAATACAGATCAGTAATTTTGATTCGTTATATCCTGTGGCGCCTCTCAGATATAACTGAAAATTAAAGTTGAAGGTGGTAGCCATGTGTGAGTTATAAGTTCAAAAAGGTAAATCAAACGAGGGTGGTCCTTAGGATCTCACAAGAGTATTTTATTACGACCGGTTTCGAGGATCAGATCCTCATCATCAGGTAAGGTCTAAAAATAGAGAGGAAAAACGAATGAGCTCATAACTAATAAGTGGGTTTAAACATTTTAATATGAAATTTGTCAAATATCAAGAACTCACCCGTAATTACTCATCTATTTAAGACTAAGCTAAGAGAATTATCCCAGGGTCGGTGTAAAAACAAGTATGCGAGTATTTTTTAAAATACATAAAAAAATATAAAAAAACAATAGTTGCAACAAAAAGTTGATGTCAAAACACATAAACAAAAGTAGGTCTAAAACTATTAATTAAAATTATTAAAATATTTCACGAACGGACGAACAATTAAGACAAACAAATTTAAAAACTTTTTAAAAACCCTACAAGCACTAAAATAGGTTCTTGGACAAGTGTTTATAATTCTACAGGAATTAAATTTTATTTAGATTAAATAACTGATTGACGCCCTCAAGATATAAATAGACGAATTAACCATTCTAATATTTAAGATAACAGTTTAGAGGTTGTCAAATTTAAATATTTTGACCATCGGCTAATAGATGGCGTTGGCGAAAAAATAAATGTTTCTTAATAATAATATAGGTTTATAATGAATTGTTTAAATTTGTACGTAATAAACAAAATGAAATAAATAAATTATTATTGTTAAAAGTAGAGTCTAGCATTAGCGTTGGAAAATAATTTTAGATGTACTAATATTCAAATTAAGAAGTTGGTAACAATCAACGGAAAAAGGAAATGGTGTTAAAATGAAAAGAGAGAAAAAACTATTGATTTGGTTTATAACTGAAAATATTTGAAAAGGAATACGTAGATGATACACAAATATAATTTGGATTTTGAGGAATAAACCTTTTATTTTGTCATGGATAAAAATTATTAGATTTAATATGGGTGATATTTGAGAATAGTAGATATCCTCCTGGAATAATATACTTCACAATATTGACCCAACATTGTAACTGCTAATAGAGATTAAATTTGTAGTGTTACGTCCTTCTAATTAGACAGATTAAGCGTCAGTATACTTTCACAAACCGTTGTTGGCGCGAACTTCGAAAGGTTAAAAATCCGACCGCACCCGTACATACATACCAATCACGTAACCTTTTTGATCAAAGTCAAAAATCGCGGTAAATAAAACCGAATGTCATTTTCCATGTGATTTACTAGGCGAACGCGAGCACCGCACGACCAAAGCGGTTCGGCTTTGGTTTGATTCACAAATGACCTGTAACCGGCTAAATCCGTATGTTGTTCACAGATGCATCCATCCGAGGACGTCCAAATCGACAACACAATCATCCACTTCGATGCACTGCCTGGCTTGGAAACAACGCTGTCAACGATCTCCATTAGAGCCACTCCGAGCCTCTTCAAAAACGGCAAACTAACGCTGCGTTGTTTGGCAACTATGTTTACATTGTACACTTCATCGAAGGAGGCCGAAATTGTGGAGGCGGCCCCGCAGTTGGCCCTGATGATCCATCCGTCGAGTTCGGCTAATTTCGGTTTGTATTTTTCTTCTTAATTATTTAAAATATTTTTAAAGACAAAAACGACAATTTTTGATGCTCTGTCCCCACTAACACAAATTGTTATTAGACTGAATATATACAGGGTGTTATTGAATTGCATGTACAATATTAAAAGTGACAAGAGTGTATGATGTCAAAAACAAATGGCATCAATTTTAGCAGTTTTATTCTAAAATTTAAAAAAGGGTTGGTTTATCATTTTTCCGACCATTGTTCTACGTTTCATTCTTAAATAACAATAAAAAATGGGGGATCCTATACGTGAGCGCTGTTGCCGAGTAGTTCACAAATTTCTATATTAAACAAATTCACCCGACCGCGTTATAACGTTGGGATGTTGTTTTTGTTCCTTAATATTTGGTTTGCAAAGTCTATTGTTGAAAGTATTGCTTTGATTGGTATTATAGAAGTCTTGGAGTGCAGTTATGTTGAAATCTTCAATTACAATCGATTTGTGCATCGACACAAAATCCTCTAAAAAGTCAAAGAATTCATCATACTGTGCGACAGTTGCTAATGGTAAAGTATATACAACAATAATAAATACGTATTTGGAGTTGTAGGGGAATAACTTGACACATAATACATCAATTATTGGTAGTGGGCAGTTCATTTCATACACTTCAGATTTAAATAAGGTATTATCCTTAGATAAAAGAGACCAGAGATATAACATACACCGGTGTTTAACCTGCGCAAATGTTGCCAATTTCTAAAGAAAGGTTAACGGAGTGGGGGAACTGGGCGGCGACCCGAACTCTGTGGCAGGGACCGGACTTTATTTATTAGCATCATAATGAACTATTAAATTTATTTAAAAGGTGTTTAATCGAATTTTGTATTATGAAATAAAATTAACGTGATTTTTTAATATCAAACAGATTCCACGACATTTTATGTAAAGAGAAGACCTTTTGTAGAATATTTCGTTAGCGTTTATTTACTACGGACTTTTCTGCAAGAGATTACAGTAAAATGTTGAAATAGAATATATTATTGATAGAGCAAAAAATGTTACTCATTGTCTAGGAGTATTATAAAAATAGCATGTGCGCAGGCGAATACTGCAAATCTAACCTTATGAGTTGAACATTATATTCTTTCTACGGCTATTACATAATAATAAAAATTAGCCATATGAGAAAATGCTGTTTTGTATTATAACCTCAGAAAAAGGTATGTTAAGGCTTCTTTCTTTAGGAATATTAATTATTATAAAGGATGAGTCACATAAAACTCTAGAAATGCATAATATGTCTGAAATTAGATAACATTTTAAAATTCAAATCTATTAAAAGTAATTTGGTCGCTAGGGATGAGTGATTATTGAAATAAATTATCGATCATTGAAAATAATCGATTATTTTCGATCAATCGATTATTTTCAAACAACATATTTTTTTGTCATTTCCTTTAAAATCGACTACTTGATTATCTTTGAAAAATCAAAAATAATCGATTAATTAAAAAGCCAATTAACCGATAAATCAGTGTTTACAAAATATAATAAAAAAAAATTATCGTTTATTTTAAATAATCGTTTATTTTAAATAATCGATTATTTTCAAATAAACCATTTTTTTTTCGTCCGTGGAAACAGATTATTCGATAATTTTTAAAAAATCGAAAATAATCGACTAATCAAAAATAATCGATTAATTAAAAAGTCGATTAACTGATAAATCGATTTTCAAAAAAAAAAACAGAATGATCGACTATTTTAAATAATCGATGATTTTCGATCAATCGATTATTATCAATAATCTATTTTTATTGTATTTACTTTAAAATCGATAATTTGATTATCTTTGAAATACCAAAAATAATAGATTATTCCTAAATAATCGTCTGTCGAAAATAACTAATTATTTCAGAAGCCGATTCTACGATAAATCGATTTTCCAAAAATAACCGAATTATCGATTATTTTCTAATAATCCATTTTTTTCGTCCATTGAAACAGATTATTTGACAATCTTTGAAAAATCGAAAATAATCGATTAATCAAAAATAATCGATTAATGAAAAATAATCGATTAATTAAAAAGTCGATTAACTGATAAATCAATTAAAAAAAAAAACAGAATTATCGAATATTTTAAATAACTGATTATTTTTCATCAATCGATTATTATCAATAATCTACTTTATTGTATTTCCTTTAGAATCGATAATTCGATTATCTTCGAAATATCGAAAATAATCGATAATTTCAAAATAATCGCCTAATCGAAAATAACCAATTAATTAAGCCGATTCTATGATAAATCGATTATTATCAATAATCTATTTTATTGTATTTCCTTAACATCGATAATTCGATTATCTTTGAAATACCGAAAATAATCGATAATTCCAAAATAATTGCCTAATCGAAAATAACCAATTAATTAAGAAGCCGATTCTATGATAAATCGATTATTATCAATTATCTATTTTATTGTATTTCCTTTAAAATCGATAATTCGATTATCTTTGAAATACTGAAAGTAATCGATAATTCCAAAATAATCGCCTAATCGAAAATAACCAATTAATTAAGAAGCCGATTCTATGA